AGAATAGAATAGAATAGAATAGAATAGAATAGAATAGAATAGAATAGAATAGAATAGAATAGAATAGAATTCTTTATTGGCCGAGTGTGATTAGACACAATGAATTTGTCTTCACTATATAAAGTCTCAGTGTACCTGCAAAGTAATAATAATGATACCAATAATAGATGGTTGTGGAAAAGATGAGAAGGATGATAATAATAATACTAAAGCTGTATTACATGGGTAAATGGGTAAATATCCTAAGACGTAAGAGTACTGTGGGATTAGGTGTTCAGCAGAGTGATGGCATGAGGGGAAAAAACTCTGTGTCTAGTTGTTTAGCATGCAAGGTCTTGTAGCAGCAACCTGAGGGGAGGAGTTGAAACAGTTTATGTCCATGATAGGAGGGGTCTGTAGATATTTTCTCAGGCCTCTTTCTGAACCATGTAATATACAAATCCTCAACTGATTGGCATTATCTTAAAAATGGCATATTTACATCTAAATTAAAATTTATACTGTAAAGCAGTCCTATTGTGGCAGAACTCTTAAAATGGATCATCATTAGTATCATTTCTGAAAATAATTTGAGAATCTGATTGGAAAATCCATCCTTTAAGAGGGATTTTTAAAAACATTTTCTTCTTTTAAGTTTATTAACTAGAGCACATTTGAATGGGTGCTAATTGACAAAGTGTTTATCAGGTTGGTAAGTTTTCTACCAAGCATACTTTGAATGAAAGAGTTTTGATGTCAGGAATGTGGATGTACTTTTGTATCCTTTTCCTAATAGTTATAGCACTTGGTGACTATGGCCAAATATAGCCCTTGGATTCGTGGTTTTCAGTGTGCTCAATTCTCACCCTTGCCCATTGGCTGTTTCAGTTTACTTTATTGTCATTGCACCTCATACAACAAAACCAAACACCATCTTCAGTGCACATCATGACCATGACCATGAAAATAAACACAAACACACATCCTTCACCCACCACACATTGAACCAAAAACCCCCGACACTGCACTATACAGCAGAATTCAAAAGAGCAACTGCCCTGGGATAGAAGCTGTTTTTCAGCCTATTTGTCCTTGTTTTTATTATTCTGTACCCTCTGCCACATGGTAATAGTTAAAAAAAAAAAGGGTTTCCAGGATGAGATGGATCTTTGAGAATGTTTTGAACTTACTTAAGGCAGTGGGAGCTATAAAGTTCTTCCAAAGAGGGGAGAGGGCAACATAACAGGCTTGCTAAAAAAAAATGTTTGTGAGACTTGTTTCGAGATAAGGGATGAGAAACAGATATTGCTAGAAATAGTGGAAAAAACTTCATGCTGTGTTAGGTGTGAGTAATTGACACAGTAATACCGGTCACTAACAACTGAACATATATCCATACACTCAATTTGTATGCATTTTGTTTGTTTTAAAGGGCTCTTAGTGACCTGAATAAAGATGGGAAAATGGATCAACTGGAGTTCTCCATAGCTATGAAACTCATCAAACTAAAACTGCAAGGCCAGTCCTTGCCTATGGTGCTTCCTCCAATCATGAAACAGACCCCAGCGTTTTCTCCCTTGATTTCTGCTCGTTTTGGTAAACATGCAAATATGCGGGTGATAATGATGGAGGATTCTCTGCAAATTTGTATAAGCATTACATTTGTTAAAACTATATGAAGAAAATATAGTTAAATATTTTGATAGCGATTGGGTACAGTAAAAACAAGCACTTAATTATATTATTTTCATTCTGCTGCTTTCCAATATTTGGACTTATGCTAATTTTCCCAGCCAGAAGAGGAAAATTCTGGCCATTTGGTGGAACAAATGAAATAATACTTTGTGCAAATGTAAGCTGCTGAACTAAAACTGGTTTTTACAATATCTGTCCTGGTGTTAGATACAAATATCCACATTAGTGGAATTCAAATATATAAAGGGACAGTAATTTATTAAAACAATTTAATATTAAAGACATGTCATAAAAATCCCATCAAAGTAAGAAATGTTTAGTCTAGTCCTTTGAATTCTCTGTCAACAGCCAGTTTCATAAAAATCATGTTCATATAATAAAGGGACTATATTTAATACTACATGTGCTAACAGCAGCTAGAATTGTATTTACACAGCATTGGAAAAGTGTGGAGATCCCTACAAAAGAGAAGATAATAAAAAAATACTAGAATATGCAGAAATTGATTGATTAACACTTGAAATTAAAGAGAAGGCACGGAATATTTTGAAATATGGGATTTGTTTCATCAATGGTTAACTAAGTGTCAAAAGTTAGAATGTTTTAAAATTATCAGAGAAGGATTAACTTTACTATAAGGACTTATTATGATATATTTATTATTAATGTTAATAAGTATCAATAATTAACAAGAATTATGAGAAAACACAGTTATTATATGACTACTACTAATGAATTTTATGATGATGATTTCTCAAACTAACTGTAAACAGACATCATACTGTGTCCTTGAAACTGTTGCTCTTTCTATATATAACAAGGGGGGTTGATTCAATAGTCTTGGACTGGTGTATTTATATTGACCCTTGAATTTTTCCAGGTATGGGCAGTATGCCAAATCTGTCTACAATAGCACCTTTGGCTCCCATGTCCAATCTGACATCTGTACCTTCCATTTCTCCCATGATGATTTCAACCCCGTTATTGCCTTCTGCCAGCCCTTCATCATTGCCAAATGGAACCCCCGGCCTTCTTCAGCCATTAGCTATGTCCTATTCTTCCAGTGAGTACCTTCATGCCAGAAAGACTCCAGTTTTGACAGCTTGATGTTGGTGGTGGTTTGTTCTCCGAGCATGTTGCTTTGACCCAGGAGGCAGCTTGATTGGCTTTGCAGATGCTTAAATTAGTTACAGTATTTTATTCTAACTCCTGTCCCCTCAAAAGGCCGATAATTTTGCTTAGAAACCCACCCACCCCTTCCAGGTTCCTCCCTCAGGTTTTGGCTAATAGGCATTGGAATCAGAGAGATTCTGAAAGTTAGTCCAAACGTTTTTATAAAATCAGATCTACGTACCTAAAAGAAATGCACTTAAGCATACATTCAACTGTTTTTATATATCAGGATGTCCAATCTTGGCAACTTTAAAAACTTGTGGACTTCAACTCCCAGAATTCTACAGCCAAGCATGTCTTAAAGTTGCCAAGGTTGGACACCTCCTCTGTCTTTCTCAATACTGGCAGTCAGGGTTCAGCAACAAGGGTAAGTCTTTTTTTTTCAAGTAAAGATGATGATGTTTCTTTCCAGGACTCAGCTAATTATTAACCCATTTCAACATTTCTCTTATTTCAGCTTTGCCTCATTCTAATTCATACACTCCCGTGATAGGAGGATTTGGTGGTTCCAACATCCAGAAAACTCAGTCCTTAATAGATTTAGGATCTAGTAGGTATGGACCTTCAGACTTGAAATATTAAGCCTCGATTGATAGATAATTTCTTTCTTTTTTCCCCCCCAACAAAACCATTTCTTTTGATTATATTTGCACCTGAAGTATAATCTCAGTATTTGGGAAGATTGGTTGGGAAAAAAATAGTAATCTGCAGAAAAATTCAAGAAGAATGTTAATTTTGAATATCACAGGGTTTTTTTTAATCGACTCTGGTTTATATTACAGTTCAAATTCTTCTTCTACTACCTCATTAACTGGCAATTCACCAAAGGCAGGATCTTCAGATTGGGCAGTTCCTCAGGCTTCAAGATTAAAATATAGGCAAAAATTTAATTACCTTGATAAAGGAATGACTGGATATCTTTCAGGTTAGTGCTGGATTTAAAGATGAGTTTGTTTATATTTGTTTATATCTCCCTCTTTATTGTTTTACGAATAACTTAATATCAAATAACATATCCAACACATCTTCCTCCTCCTGTTTTCCTCCAAGAAGCAACCCTGTGAAGTGGACTGGTCTGAAAGAGAGTGACAGGCTCAAGGTTACCCAGCTGGCTTTCATGGCTAAGGTGGGACTAGAACTCACAGTCTCTTTCTAGCCTGGTGCCTTCACCACTAGACCAGACTGGCTCTCAGCAATAAAAATACACAAGATTTATTTTAAAATTAATACTCTCTAACTATTAGAGAATATTTAACTATTTTTCTGGTTTTGAAAGCGCCTACACATCACATCATATTGTCCTAGTTTTAATTAACAAAATGTTTTTTCTGTATGTTTGCAATACAGATTAAAATGGATAGCATTTCAAAGGGAATTACCGTATTTGCCGGCGTATAAGACGACTGGGCGTATAAGACGACCCCCCAACATTTCCACTCAAAATATAGAGTTTGTTATATACTCGCCGTATAAGACTACCCCCTCTTCCACACACCTTCCACTTTTGCACTTTTTTTTGTTTTTGACGCACTTTTCTGCTTTGGACAATTTTGAAATGAGCTAATCCAATTTTGAACCAAGAATATGCAAATAGCTATGGAGTTTAGAAATGAGTTTTAAAAATATTTTTCATTGCTTACCATTAAGCGTAAAATATGTTGTAAATAAAATGAGAACACAGGAAACGTTCTCTTCTCAATACAGCTGATCTCTCTCTCTCTCTCTCTCTCTCTCTCTCTCTCTCTCTCTCTCTCTCTCTCTCTCTCTCACACACACACACACACACACACACACACACACACACCAAAAACCCGGACACTGAAAAGGCTGCCAAGGAACAGTATATTCAATGCCTTCTCTTTAATCAAGAAACAAGGAATTCCTTAGAATCTTTTTTTTTCCCCAAGTGGCCCTCTTTAAAAAAAAAAATGGAGGTAACACTTTCATTCAAAAAGTCTTCCAGTATCTGGAGTCGCTCAGACATATTGAAGTGAGGCAGGAGAGTAAGTGAAATTTGAAATGATCCAGCTACCGTTTTCTTCCCCTCCCGCCCGAAGGCCATTATCTCCACGTCAAAACGAACGAGGGGAGGCAAAGAAGCCAAACACGCTAAAAAGGATCTCTTTATTTTCCTACACAAGGTCACACCTACTTTTCCGCATTCAAAGGACAACCTCTCCTCACCACCACCACACACACACACACACACCCCAATACCCGCAAACAATGTTCTGGGCATTAATCACCATTGCTACATTAACCTGGTAAATTTATACCCTGCCTCCCCCAGTGTTGCTTTGACGGCAGGATTTCACACAGCAGGGCGCTCGCTCGCTCTCTTCTCCGCTCTCCCACCGTTCGCACATGTTGGAAGCACAGTAAAACCTGATAACCCACCCGGGGGCTCCCCCATCCTTAACCTACAGCCGCCCGCATGCAAAACCTGCGTGCAAAAAGAAAAAAAGAAAAAGAAAAGTACGCCGCACGTGAGGATCTTCGAATCCTCTCCTCCCCACACCGCTAAGGAAGGAAGAGGGGGAAAGGTTGCGCAGCGCGTGGCGAGTGACACCCGCCACACACACACACACACACACCGCTCCCCCCCCCAGCCTCCCTCCCGGCTGCAACTCAAGCTCGAAGTGGGAGTCGGAGTCCTCCCGGCGTATAAGACGACCCCCCCACTTGGAGGCATGTTTTTCAGGGCAAAAAAGTCGTCTTATACGCCGGCAAATACGGTACTTTGAAAAGACTTTTTTCTGTATTGTGAAATAAATAAGGTAGAATCTCCTTCAAGTCAAGGAAAAATATTTGGAGACTTCATGGATTATCTCTATAGTTGGTAATAGAATGAATATAGTTTGAAATGCTTTCAGGAATATGTTTCGATTCCCAATAAGCCTACAGTCCTGATTGCAGTCAGGGCTCTTGGCAGTCATCTCACATTTACAACTGTTTGCAGCATCCTGTGGTACCATGATCATGATTTGGGTCTTTTGTTGCTGATTTCTAGCAAAACCTACCCATTTGAAAAGCTAGATTCGCTTAACAAATTGCATGATTCACTTAACAGTGTGATTCACCTGACTGCCATAAAAATTATCATAAAAACTCTGTCCAACTCAGTTTATGACTGCAACAGAAATTTTGGTCCTAATTTTGCTCATAAGTTGAGAGCTATGGTACTGATTATGTTTGGAATGATTTTTTGTAAGACTGCTTTTTGGGATGAAATTTTAAATGAAATTAGTTCTATAATGTTTTAAAATACAAATCATTAGTTCATAGCTCCAACTGGTTTACATGTTAATGTGTGTAATAAATTGTTACATTTGATTTATTAAGGATTTCAGGCAAGAAATGCTCTTCTACAATCAAACTTATCTCAGACACAGTTAGCCACTATATGGTAAGTTTGTTCACAAATACATGTTTGTAATTTTTTAAATAGATTGACATTTTTATTTCAAATTCTTGAAAAGTACTGTGGCTGTACCTATCTACTTTCACGACAACCACAAATAATGCTAAATCAAGCATTGTTTTAACTAAAGCTTATTGAATAGCTCAGATTTAGTTTTCCAGATAGAATAATCAGGGATTGCTTGACCAACTCCTGATATGATTTCCCTGTATTTCTTTAGTAGTAGCTGGTGTTTCAAATAACTTGTAGCGATGAAGAATGGAATTGTTTTGTACGTGTACAACATCATTATATTCTGTGTTCTTTGCTTTTGTGTTTATGGATATGGCCTTAGATGGATTCTTGCTTATGGATGTGGTTGCTAATCTGTTTACTTTTTTGTTGCTGCATGTGACTTTTTTATTTCTGTACATGATACATGTAGTAGCTTGTATTCAGCATTATGTGCAGACTAGGTCATTATGCATTTAATATTGTACGATTATTCCTAGATTGCAAAAGGAGAGTATTGATTTTTTTTCCCCTGGATCGTTCATTTATTCATATAGCTTGTATGCTACTTTAATCTAAAACAATTCATTTTGCATGATACTGGAAATAAGCCATAAAATTAATATTTGCAATTATAATTACCACAGTACATAATCATAACAAAAGCATTACACCTTAGCAGCCTTACCAAATCATGCCACAGGGAATACAAATTGATTCCCAGATGGATTTCCAGACTTCCATTCTTTTCACCTCTCGTGTTTAGGAAATGTGTTGGGATGAGCATGGAGAACAAGCTGTGTTTCACTAGAGGAGTTGCTGCTAAAGTTACCTTGGAGCTCAGGCTTGTAGGGCTTTATAGATATACATCTCAATGTAGGTTGAAGACAATAGTTATTATCATACTAATAAGAGAATTAAGCAAATGTTGACTTTTTGCTGTTAAAAAAATCAATAGCACACAACCACATAACCTAGCTGGACTATATCTGGAGTCCTCCAAATTGGTATGTGTGAATACATGAATTATAGAGAATAGGGAGACCATTGTCTTGTGGATGATAATGAATGTCAACTCACATCAGCACCAGCCTGTCTGGATCTCAGGAACATTTTGATATTTTATTTATTAAATTTCTATTCTTCCAATCTCCCCTGCAAGGTGGCTCTTAGCAGCTTACATATTATAGTTGCAGATTTCCTACCTCTTCCTGCCTAACAGTACCTTTAAGTATTGTTTCTGTATCTCATTTTTCAAAGCTGGCCCTTGCTTCATCATCGATATCCTGGAGACATTGTATGCAAAGAGCAAAGTAGCTCTCCCCACTTCCCTGGGTCCCTTTAACACAGATTTCTCTTTCCTAGGTCTCTGTCTGACATTGATGGTGATGGACAGCTGAAAGCAGAGGAGTTCATCTTAGCTATGCATTTAACTGATATGGCCAAAGCTGGGCACCCACTCCCACTAAGTTTGCCGCCTGAGTTTGTGCCCCCTTCTTTGAGGTGCTTAACACAAGGTGACATGTAATTAAAATTACAGAAAAATGCTAAATGAACTGAAATTTTTAAAAAACGACTATGCTCTCTTTTTCTCCTAGAAATGGAAAGCATTTGGAAAATATTAACTGTGCTCTGCCAAATTATCAACAAGAAGAGGAACCTCCCCAGAAACTTCCAGGTAACTAGGATCCTCTGTTTCTGCATTGCAATAGGGGGGTAAAAAAATTTTTTGGGGGAAATGTTGGTAGTTTAATTATGTTAGTTATTTCTCTTATTTGAGATGCATCTGGCTTACCTTACTTTCAAAGCTGCTTTCTGAATTACAACCCTAAGGATTTCATGTGCGGCCCTGGTCCATTCTAATTAGAGCCATGCATTTTCAACAATAAAAAAGATGAGAAACAGCAGTAAAGACAGATGAACCTGGATAGAACACTCACAGCAACAGCGGGGTACATAGAGACCTTGAGATTTGAAAAGCCTCCAAAATAAAATTAAATGCATCTCCATTTGTCTTCCTTTGGTTATTGGATGGTTTCTGCCATAATCCATCTCTTTAAAGTAATTGAGAAGAGTATGATCTGATCAGTGTTTACAGTTCAGTGCCGTTCACTGTTCTTTAATCTAGGTACCTTTGAGGATAAGAGGAAGGCAAACTATGAAAGGGGCAACCTGGAACTGGAGAAACGACGCCAAGTGCTCCTTGAGCAGCAGCAGAGAGAGATGGAACGTAAAGCACAGAAAGAAAGAGAAGAAAAGGAGCGAAGAGAAAGGGAACGGAAGGAACTGGAGCAGAAGAAACAACTTGAGCTAGAAAGGCGCTTGGAAAAACAGCAAGAGATGGAGAAACAAAGGGAGGAAGAACGGAAAAAAGAGATTGAAAAACGAGAGGTTGTTTTTCTAATTGTTTTGGGATTTAATCTTTGGAAAATTTGTTTCAGTTTGTCAGTTCAGTAAAACTATTCCTGTGAGAGTTTGGGGCCCTTTAAATGTTCTCCTTTAGAAACTTTTTCCTTATTAAGGAATTATTTTATATTTTAGCTTTTATTCCGAATTCTAATTTAAGCAGCTAGTTTTATCTGGATTGAAATAAGTGGTCCTTAAAGTAAATGATAGTATAAATTTCTTGGGGTGCACTTTGTGAACCTGAGCATTGACTGGAATAAATAAAAAAGTTGCATCTGATGAATAACAAATACTTTCAATTTTAAATTTAAGAAATTGATAGTATTCCATTATCATGCCTCCATTATTCTTCATAAGGTCAAAGAACGTTGCATTGATTTTGCTGCAAAAGATATACATGGAAGCTTTTTTGAAAATTATATACAGAATGTTACATTCTAGGTTTTTTTTAATAGGCATTATTTTTATCTAAACTTTTTTTCTGAAGATAATGAAAACAATAAATGAATACAATATTATTAATTATTCTGTTGTTACATGAACATTGAGGCTGATAGTTTAGGTATTTTATTTTCAGGCAGCTAAACAAGAACTCGAGCGTCAAAGACGACTTGAATGGGAGAGGATTCGTCGTCAAGACCTTCTTAATCAACGTAATAGAGAACAGGAGGAAATTGTGAAGTTATCTTCTAAAAAAAAGAGTCTTAATCTTGAACTAGATGCACTGGTGAGTCACACACTGCACAAAATCATAGCATTGCAACTGAACATTCTCTTTCGACTCAGTTGTTTTCCCGTGACTTCTACATATCTTTTGTCTAATTGCTTTAATTGTAAACAAATTGTAGATATTTTTTTTTTTTTGCTTCTATGGTGTCATTTTTTCATATTGAAGTTAAGAATAGTTATTTGTAGAGACAAAGCAAATAAAGGACAGCATCAGAAGATTTTAAGAAGCTTTCGGGTATATGTACACAGTTTCCCTGAAAATAAGACTCAACCGGAAAATAAGCCCTAGCATGATTTTTCAGGATGCTCGTAATTGAAGCAAGCCCTATCCCAAAAATAAGCCCAGTTAAGATTGGCAACCAGACAAACACATTTTGTACTGAATTTCCCCCAAAATAAGCCCTAATGCATCTTTTGGAGTAAAAAAGTAATGTAAGACCCGGTCTTATTTTCGGGGAAACATGGGTAGTAGCTGTATAGAAGGGGAAAACCTTGGTTTGTATTTCTTCAACTATGTTTTATTCATTTCAATAACATTTATCTTTGAACTGTTGTGATGTTATTTCTTGTGTTATTTTGATTCACATCCTCTCCTTTTCATTTCTAGAGCACTAAAGGGGTTAATAGATAGGAAAATACATATAAAATATAATAATATAAAATAGTTTTTAAAATCCACTTAAAAGCACCTGAAATTATCAGTTCACCTTAGATTGGTCAGAGATTTACAGTTTTGCCTATAAGAAGTGGTAGAAATCTGTTTTAAGTAATTCACTAAATATTGATTTGTCAGGTGCTTACAATAGATCATCTTAATAGATGATCCAGTTCCCTGCAATCCAAATACTAATTGGGATAATTGTGTAGCTGAATTGGGGATATAAAATATTGAGCCATCCTCCATGAGGATCTTGAAATTACTCAAAAAAGATAGTCCAAAACGTCCCTGAGTTTACCTTGCTAAAAAGAGCAATATTGTTAAAAAGAGTTGATAGTATACCAACAGAATCCCTGCATTGTCCCAGTAAGTAGCTAACATATTAAGAATTAATGAATTGCTAAACAGAGTATCTGGTCATTGCATTCATGTGTAGCATATCCATTCTATTACCTACCCAAGTTGCCCAGCATCTAGTATTTTTTTTTCCGAAAACAATTTTATTGATTTTCTACAAACAAACAAGACAAACAAAACATTAAAACATCAACTCTCTTATGTACGTACAGTGTGTCGGTTGGTTCATTGATTTTGTGCATTCATTTCGTAGTCTCAATTGCAGTTATATTACATAACAACTCATATTGTCAATCCAAATTTATATATCCTAATATCGCTATTAATAAATCATTTGACTATACTTTTAATCATTCATGCTTTATGAGAGAACAATACTCTAAACAGTTTATTCTATAACAAATCATATAATCATACCAAATCTATCCTAAAAACACTATAGATATAATGTCAAATAACATAGGCAAAAGAAAAAATAAAAGTATTCCTTGCTATCTAACTTTCTAAATATTCTATTATCGTATTTTGTCATCTAGCCACTGATAAAAAAGATCCCAAATTTCATAAAATTGTTTATCCTCTTGCTCTCTAATTTCAAATGTCAATCTACTCATCTCAGCACATTCCAATATTTTCTTAATAATTTCTTCCTGTGATGGTATTTTCTCATTCTTCCAGTTTTTAGCAAATACAATCCTAGCCGCTGTTAACACATTTACAATCAGGTATTTCAAATCTTTACTATATGTATCTGGTAAGATTCCCAATAAAAAGAACTCCGGTTTCAAATTACACGTTTTTTTGTCATTTTTTCCAACCACATGCGAATTTTAGTCCAATATTTTTTAGCGTCCTCACAAGTCCACCACATATGGTAATATGAGCCAGGTATCTGATGACATTTCCAGCATTTTTCAGATTTGTTCTTGAACATTCTTGCTATTCATGTCGGGGGAAAGTGCCACCTGTAAAACATCTTATACAAATTTTCCTTATATGCTGTTGACATTGTCATTTTATAATTTTGAGACCACAATTTTTGCCATTTCTCTAAATCAATCCCATATCCAAAATTCTTCCCCCAAACAATCATAGTTTCTTTAACTTGTTCTTCTTCTAATTTAATTCCCAGTAAATAACCATACAATTTTTTAATCACCTTCTCATCAGTACCCATCAAAATCTTATCTAGATCAGTCTGTTTATCATAGAATCCCTCTGTTTTATAATCTTCATCATACCTTGAATGTATTTGCGCATATGAAAACCAATTCATCTTTATACCTTGTTCCTCTAAACTTTGTATTGATTTAAGTTCACCCTTTTCATCCAATAGTTCCCCATATCTAACTGTTTGTTCCTTCTTATAAATTATAGGATAGGAAAATGCTTCAATAGTCGATAACCAAACTGGAATTTTCAAATAACATTGTCTTTTTATCTTCTCCCAGTTTAACCACAAAGACTCCCGTATATAATGTCTTCTAAAATAACCCTGTGTTTTAGTTCCCTTATACCATAAAAAAGCATGCCAACCCAACAGCAAGTCATAACCTTCTAATGTCAACAATCTAGTCTTTCTTAATGTTATCCATTCCTTAACCCACATCAGACTTGCAGCTTGATAGTACAATTCCCAATTGGGCAGACCAAAACCTCCTCTAATTCGAGCATCTTGCAAAAGCTTTAGCTTTATTCTCGCTTTCTTACCTTGCCATATATACTTCAACATAATTTTATTTAAATCATCAAAATAGTCTTTTCCGAGCCTAATTGGTATTGTTTGAAAGAGAAATAGGATTCTAGGTAAAATATTCATCTTAATTGTTGAAATTCTCCCTATTAATGACAATTGCAAGTTTTCCCATTTCTTCAAGTCTATAGCTATCTGTTGTTTAAGTTTAATATAATTATTCTCTTTTAATGTGCTACATCTTGCTGTCAAATGTATCCCCAGATACTTAACCTTATTCGTAACTTGGATTTTCAGCAGGTCTGCCAGTTCTTCTCTTTGTCTCAGTAGCATGTTCTTTGTCAAAATCTTTGTTTTGTCTTTATTTATTTTGTTTTGTCTTTATTTATTTTCAAACCAGCCACCTCACCATATATCTCTATCTTTTCCAATAACTTTGGAACTGTTTCTAACGGATCTTCCAAAATAAAGACTAAGTCGTCAGCAAAAGCTTGCAGTTTAAATTCTTCCTTTTTAATTTTCATTCCTTTTATGCTTTTATCATCTCTAATATTTCTATTCAACACTTCCAAAGTCAATACAAATAGCAAAGGAGATAGGGGACATCCTTGTCTTGTGCCTTTTCTTATATTAATAAAATCTGTAAGTTCTCCCTCCATCATTACCTTTGCTGTCTGTTTATTGTATATGGCTTCTATTGCTTGGACAAATTTTCTGGCAAAACCCATGTGTTCCAATAGTAATAACATAAATCTCCAGTTCACGTTGTCAAATGCCTTTTGAGCATCTAGAAATATCAAAGCCATTTGCTTTTCAGGATGTGCCTCATAATATTCCAAATTATCCAAGATTACTCTCATATTATCTCTAATTTGTCTCTTTGGCAGAAATCCATTTTGATCTGGGTGAATAACATTATTTAAGTATTTTTTTAAGTCTTTCTGCTAAAATTGAAGCAAAAATTTTATAGTCTGCATTTAATAGAGAAATAGGTCTATAGTTCTTAATTTGCAGTGGATCAGCCTCTTCTTTTGGAATAAGTGTAATATAAGCCTCTGACCATGTTTTAGGTATCATCTTCTTTGACATAGCTTCATTTATAACTTCAAGCAATGGAATGCTCAATGATTCTTGAAATGTTTTATAGAATTCTGCCGGAAGCCCATCTGGACCCGGTGCTTTCCCATTATTTTGTTTCTTAAGTGCTTCAGTTAATTCCATCATTGTTATGTTGCTTTCTAGCATTTCTTCAATCTCTTTAGGCATCTTCGGTAGGTTAGCATTCTGTAAATACTGTTTAACTTTTTCTTCATCAATATTCTCTTGTTTATATAGTTGCCCATAAAAATCTCGAACAATTTCCTTTTTCTCCTTGTTACCATAACAAACTTGGCCTTGATCATCTATTAACTTCAATATTTTTCTTGATTCTTTCTCTTTTCTCAATTTATATGCTAGCCATCTACCTGGTTTGTTTGCGTCTTCAAAATAATTCTGTTTAGCATTTCTAATTTTCTGCGCCAATTCTTCTTTCTCTATTAATTCCATTTTATGTTTAGTTATATCCAACTTCAATTTAATTTCCTTTTTCTGTGGCATTTTCTGTAATTCTTTTTCAAGTCTTTTATATTCATCTTCCAAGATCTTAGTGGCTTGCCTTTTCCTAATGTTCTTTCTTCTTATATAATCTATTATCAAACCTCTAACATATGCCTTCATTGTATCCCAAACATTCTGCAATGAAGTATCTTCTTTTTTATTTTCCCTAAAGAAAAAAACCAATTCTTTCTCCATCCATTGTGTAAAATCTTTTTCCTTTAAAATAGTATTGTTTAACGTCCATCTCGATCTTTTTTTTTTGTCCCTTCCATTTAATTATCATTGGGCTATGATCTGCCCAAGTACTTGTTTCAATATTTGTTTCTTGAATATTAGATATTAATTCTGATGAGATCCAAATCATATCCAATCTGGACCATGATAAATGTCTATTTGAATAAAAAGTAAATTGTTTAGCTTTAACATTTCTTTCTCTCCAAATATCTTTTAAGGTTAATTCATCTGTCATTTTAAAAAAAGATTTAGGGAGAGTCTTTCTATTTTGCTTTGTTGTTGTTGCTATATAATCCAGTTTATTGTCCACAATTCCATTAAAGTCTCCCATCATAATTATATTAACATAGTCCAGTCCAGTTATTTTCATGTGTAATTTTTTATAAAATTCTTCTTGTTTATCATTCGGAGCATAAATTGCAATCAAGAGTGTTTTTATATTATTGTCCATTATTTCCACCATTAATACTCTTCCGTCTTCATCCGTATAGATCAATTTTGCTGGGATGACCTCTTTAATGTATAGAACCACTCCTCTTTTCTTACATTGAGTCAAAGAAGTAAATATTTTCCCTAATTTTGGTTGTACTAACAATTGTTCATGTTGCTTTTTAATATGTACTTCTTGTAAACAAATTATATCAAATTTTAATTTCTCTAATTTATGAAAAGTTTTCCTTCTTTTAACAGCTGAATTAAGTCCATTTATATTCATTGTAATCAAATTTTTTTCTTCCATGATTATGCTTTATATTTAGGTCTAACAGCTCTCGTGGATCTCACTTCACGCTGTTCTTTACTATCCACCTGTCCACCTACTGCACCTTCCTCTTCTTCAATCTCCAATTGTTCCTCTTGAAACTCAATTAATGAGACCTCTTTCTCTGCCTCTGCTTCTCTCCTTCCAAAAAATTCTGCGTAGAAAAGTTTTGCTTTCTCAATTGAATCAATTCTATGTCTCTGTTCTTGCCACGTAAACATTAATCCTTCTGGAATCAGCCATCTATAATTCACTTCTTTATCCAATAACATTTTGGTCAGGAATCGATATTCTCTTCTCATCTCTCTCACTCTTCTGGGTATTTGTTTTAAAACCACAATCTCTTTGCCTTTGTATTTCAATATCTTCTCTCTTACAACTTGTAGTATTTGTGTTTTGATGGATTTTTTGGTAAATCTAATATGAACTTCCCTTGGTAGTTTATTTCTCATCGCATATCTTGTAAAGACTCGGTATACCTCATCTATTCCATCCATCATCTTTTCCTCTGTAATTTCCAACGCATCCGCCAAAATTTCTATCATTATCGCAGCCAAGTTTTCTCCTTTTTCTTCTTCTATATTTTGAAATCTGAGATAGAATTCTGACCTCTCCATCTCCCACCTCAACATCCCACTTTTATCTTGTTCAACCACTGTTAATCTGCTATCAATATTTCCAATCTTCTCCTCTCTTTGTGCACCTTCTTCCTCAATTTTTTGGAATCTCTCATCATACTTCGTCATCATTTGTTGAATATTTTCAATTTTTTCATCAGTCTTCCCTGTTCTTTGTTCAATATTCTCTATTCTTTGTTCAATGGCATCTGATTTTATCTTGAGATCTTGGATTCCTTGCATAATCATCTGTAAAGTCACTTTTTCTTGTTCTTTATCTTGCTTCAACATTGTCTGAATCAAGCGTTGTCCAGCTGGTGGGGAGGCAGAGGTAGAAGTAGAAACGCCAGAAGATATGGGTTTTCTGCTCATTTTGATGCTTCAAGACCTTCAAATTCTTTTTAGCTTTTAATCCAACTGGTAGAATAGCCAATTATAATCCAAAATGGAAAAATCCAATAATAAAAAGCCCAATAACAAAAAAAAAAAAAAGGAGAAAAAGAAGAAGAAAATCTTCAGGTTCTTCTAGACCCTAATCCAATTATGAAGTAGTCCAAAGTAAAAAATGAAAAATAGAAGGAAGCAAAAAAAAAACAACAACCCAAAAAATAATAATCTTCAATCCAATTGGGAAGTCTCAATAATAAAAAAGAAAAGGCAGAGTGGTTCAAAAATATAAATGAAAAAAGCAGAAAGAATCCCAGTAAAAAAAAGGAGAAGAAAAGAAAAATAAAGAAAAAAAATTCTGAGGCTTTCCCTTTAAAATAAAAAGCAAAAATAAGAATATTACTAAAATTAAAGTTTACAGAGAGGCTGGTGAGTAAGGGTACACGACTGAAAAAAGATAACAAAAAAAACAACAACACACTGCACTCTATTTATTTGTCCAAGGCTCTTATTATGACTCTCTTCTCGACAAGCTTCAAGGCCAAGCCTCAAGTGTTGAAATATTGATAAGAGTCCAGGAGAACACCTGTAATAATATTTTGCTACGCTCTCCCTCTATCTTATCAAATTGAAATGTCCTTGAGAAGTAGTCTTTTCATAGTTCTTTTCCAATTCAAACGAAATATTTTCAAGCCTCCGGGGGCAAGGTTTAAGATTTTTTTAATCCCCCCCCCCCCCCCCCCCACCAGCCAAAAAGACTTTTTTTTTTTTAAATTAAGCAAAAAATTCAGTCCGGTTAACTATAAAGTCGCGCTGAAATTCCAAAAAAAAAAGTAAGAAATAGAAAAAAAAATCCAAGCCTCAATTTGACATCTCTTTAAAAAACGCCGCTCATACAGTTTTTGTCAAAAAAAAATCTCACAGATTTCTTCTTATATCCAGAGTGTCCTTTCAAAACTCAGCTAATTAGCAAAAAAAAAAAAAAAGTTTCTCACCCAGCCGACACACTTTCACTCTCAGCTCTTCCTTACCGGAGCTGTCCCGACTTCAGCAGCTATGGAGGCTGCCTCTCCGCCGCCAGCAATAGGACTTCTTCCGGATCGAACCAGGGACTTTGCGATGTCCCTGGGATCCAGGGAATGTGCCCTACACAGTCACCGTCTCTACGGGACGGTTTAGGTCCGTTAGAACCGACCGGGGGCGAAAATATCAGCTGTGATCTCGGAGCCCCGAGATTACAGCTGTATCGCCGAAACTAGGCTCCGCCTTCTCCCCCCAGCATCTAGTCTTTACTTGCTACTCAGTGGAGGAACCTGGTAGACAGAACTCTAAGAGAGTTAACTTTTACTTTGGCAGGTCTCAATCATAGATGCCAGAGTTTGTATTAAATGTTAAAGAAGTACCGGGGGTTGGACTAGAAGATCTACAAGGTCTCTTCCAACTCTGTTAATCTGTTAAAAGTAATGCATAATTATATGTCAATAAATTTGTGTATTTTATTGATGTAATGTTTAAAATGTTTATTAATACAGAATGACAAACAACAACAGATCTCTGGAAGACTAGAAGATGTCCGTAACAGAAAACAAAAGTATAAAAATGAGTTTGCCAATCTAGAAAAGAAATGTGATATGGGAATTACTGAAATCAAGCAATTGGAACAACAGCTTCAAGTATGTGATGTTTTATTAAGTCTGGGCTTCGTTCCCACAAAATGATAGTCAATGCAGAGGTGGTGGAGAATATTGCACTTACTTGTCTATTAAGGCTATAATCTTCTGAGTATCCTCTGATGTAACATAACGATTAATTTTAAAAAAATGTTATAAAGTTTTAGAGCCATTTTGATATAGTAAAGCACC